CAGCTGGCCCGGCTCCATAGAAAAACCCAACCGCCACTCTCCCCTTGACATCACTTCCAGCCTAGCTCTCTTGGGAGGGGCTGAAGCTAAGGGCAGTGGGGCCGAAAGCACCTGGCCAAGGGCTAAGGAGCCAGTGAGACAACTGCCCAGCGTGGCACTTGGCACAAGGGCAATGGCTAACAAGCATTTGCTCCTTTCCCACCCTACAAGGTCAGAGCCCAGAGCCACCTGTAAACCCCACTGAGGCGTCAGGACCTAGGTCACCTCAACTCTCCCCCCAGGGCCTCTCGAAAGTACCCCAGTCCAAAATGACGGAGCTCATAAATCACACCCATTTCATGACAGGTGCCATGCTAGGTGACACACGGAATTCTATTCACTTTCCCAATGACCCTACGTTGCCCTTTTTATGCAGGAGACAGTAAGGTGCTGCGAGGGGAAATGACTTGCCTGAGGACACACAGATAGAAGTGCAGAGCTGAGATCTGAACCCAGGACCGCCCGACCCAGCGCCACACACTTCCAACGCGTCCCCCCGGTCACCGTGCTGGCCTGCTCCTGGCCACCTGACGGACAGGTAGCCTGGAAAGCCCCTCCCTCAGGGGAGAGATGGCACCGGCACTGTGCTCTCTCCTCCAGGCACAGCGACCGCGCATGTCAGGAGCTTTTCAATGAAAACAGTTAACTTTAAAATATGTAGGACCAAGATATTAGAAATTCCTCACACGAAAAATGACTCATGATGTTGGACCGCCTGAGCCTCGAACCCAGCCATATAGCTAGCAGGACTCCGTCTCCAACTGGCCCAGACTGAGCTCCGACCTCGGACACCTGCCACACCCCGGCCCCGACCCGAGGCACAGGCCAAGCCCGACCGGGACCCACGCCGCACCCCGAGCTCCTCACGGACGGAGCCCTGAGAGGACCCTAGAAAAGCGTCCCCTGGGCTGACACCCGCAGCACAATCGGGTCGTGACCTCGGACCGTTCCGAAGGCCCTGATTTCTCCGTCCCAAGGCATGAACTCACGCACAGACACGCCCTCCCCGAAACTCATTTCACTCGCAGGGATACCTCGCTGTCTTGTCTTCCCCTCAGCGGACTCTCCACGGAACCGGTCGCGCTCCCCCTCCAGCAGATCGCTCTGCTGAGGACGCGGAAGAGGCGGTGCTAGACCCGAGGGGGCGGGCCCGGCCGCAGAGGAGCGCGGGGGGCGGACTTGCGCCTGCGCCCTGACGGCTACGCCCAGGGAGAGGGTGGGGCGAGCTTAGTAAACTGCGCAGGCGCGATTGAGAGGAGCGGGGAGGTTGCGGGGAAGTGGGTGGGGCTTAGCTCCTTCGATGCTCGAACTTTTCGCATGAACTTTGAGAAGCCTGGGAAGCGCCTGGAGGGAGGAGGCCAGGAAGCATCAGGTGTCATTAACATTTACCGAGAGCTTCCGCATGCCAAGAAGGAATTTTTAAAATGTCTTTTACGTATGGGGATAGGCTGCCTGTCTTTTCTAAAATGAGAGCTAATTCTGTAAAATTTCTTAAAAGGTTTGGGTGCCTATAATTTCACGATGAAAGTTTCTCCTTTAGTAAAGCATTCCCCCAGTAGTTCAAAATAAAAAGACTTAAAAGTTCATTTCTTGGAGAAAACTAACTGCAAATATATTGATATTTCAGCCAACCCCAGGTCCTCTCCCAAGATGCAAGTGTGATGAGATAATGAGAATGCTGACTTGGGTTTGATTCAGGTCCTGACTCGAGTGTGTTTCCTCTGTTGTGAAATGGAAGTAAATATCCCTTCTCTTCCTGTCTCAGGATTGTTATGAGCCTCTTGGACTTCCTTCCCATCATTCATCTGAAAAACATGAATTCCCTTTCCCCTTCTCAGCCCAGTCTTCTCATCTGTATGATGGAAGGAGGTCTGGAACACTAGAGAACATTCAGGGCTTTGCTAGATTTCCCCGTGTAGGTGAAGGCTGGAGAGGGGTTCTTCTCCCAAGCATCCATATTCAGTCACTTCCAGAATCTCTCAGTCCAACCTAGAGGCCCCTGTGGATCCTGATCTCTCCCATCATCACCTTCTGGGCTCATCAAGCTTCATGTGCTCAGAGGCCATGCTGGCCTGTTCCCTTCTGTTCCTTGAATGTCTCAATAACCAGCTGCACCTGAGCCACTCAGGCCTATGTTCCAATCCAAGTGCTCAGAATTGCTATGTCCTCCATATGGCAACCAAGTCCATTAACAGAGAGGAGGGCTCTGGGAAACTCACAGGAGGAAGGGCTCCCCCAAATCAGGTGGAGCTCCAGCCATGCTTGCGGCTCCCTTTACCACACTATATACAGCTCCCCGGGAAGGGGAAGTGGCAGCAGGAAACCTCAAAGAAAAGGCTGCAGTATTCAAAAGGGCTGAGGGTGGTAGGGCAGCCTTTACTCAATAGGGGGATGCTCTGCTCTAAGGTGGGGAGAATGGCTCACTTTCTTATTCCCTGTTCCAAATAGTTTTATGGATCCAGGAAAACAAAGGCTTCAACAGCCTGGCTGCCCAAACTGTCCCTCTGCCCCTAATACTTTGCCTCTCTCAGGACTTTCTCATGCAAAGTTTTGCCCTATGGATTGGGAGAGGGGCTTTTCTCTCTTCTGTCTCCTCCTTCCTCTCTCTCTCTGTCTAGTCTTCTCTAAGCATCCCTCTCTGAATTTCTCAAAGCAGTTTTGTGATGGCTTGTAAGGAGCAGGCTTTGGTCACACGGTTCTGAGATTAATTTATCCTCACTGCCATGGTGTATTTCAAAACAACTATAATCTCAGAACCTGAACTTCCTAGGAGTCTGAGCTCTCCAGCAATTGAGGAGGTAGTGAGTGATCTTTCACAGGAGGTGTGCAAGCAGAGCCACCTTTAGAGTGTTGGACTTGGGCTTCCTCTGGTGAGCCAGAAGAAGGGGCAGCAGAGTGGAGGGCCTTACAGATCCTAGAGCAGTGAAATGGGGGATACTGGGCACCAAGAAGGAAGCTAGGCAGTTACCCAAAGACAAACTGGATTCAACAAGCTATTGTATATCAAGCATTTAGAACTGTACCTGACACATAATATTAGCTATTATTGTTATCATTATGAATGATTCATAGACTGTGAATAATGAAGGAGCTTAGAATCAATAATTTCTTTGTATCCACTCCGGGTCATGAAATACTAGTAGATGGGGGAAATAGAGGTCTGAAGGGGCCTGCCATAAGTCAGGGGCTGGGCTGGGACTAGAAGTCAGACCTCTGCCTCCCAGGAGAGCTGCTGCACAGAGCCAGGCTCCTCCTTAGGTAGAGGGAGAGCTCTAGGCGGGCCTTTGCTGACTCTTAAGAACCAAGCTGTTTTCAATTCATCTGGGCAGTTGAGGGTAAGGGGCAGTGGAATGAAAGCAAGACCTGAGCTGAGACTCAGGTGTCTCCTGGGGAATAAGCTCAGGAGTCAGCCCCACGTCCAGCTGCCCCGACAGCATTTTCTTGAGAAGGGCTTCCTCTGCTGTGAGTAGGGTTAGCATTGTTTCTGCCCCGTTCCTTAACCCATTCGCTCCAATAAACCACCACATTAAGGGGGTGAGAACAGCCAGTGCCAGGTGACCTAAGCTGAAACAAGTAAAGAATCTTCCAAGAAGAGACTGAGCTCCCCAAAGGCAAGGGCCAGTCCTCCCCACTCCCAGGATCCTAGCCTTGCCCAGGAATTCTAGGTTCAGCATTCTCAGAGCCCTGGGAAAACCTTGGTGTCTCCACCCTGGAGAGCTGGGCTAGACATGACCATACCAGCCAGCACTCCTTATGGCCAGGGACAAAAATCCCTCCCTCCCCATTTTGGCCCAGTTCCTTCCACAGTCTGCCCAAGAGCCATGTGGCACCCAGACCACAGCTTCCCACCAGCGCTGCTTTAGTTTGCCTCCTTTATTTTACCAAAAATAACAACAATAAAGTCTTCCCTCTGTTTCACAAAAATAGATTTCCCCACTTCCCTCCCTCCCCTCCCACCCACCTCACCCCCTTCTTCAATCAGCACCGGCCACGGCCTAGAATCTATCTTACCATCCACTATCTTTGACATCTCCCTTCCCCCCTCACTCCAGAGCCTTTGGCAAAGCAGCAGGGCCAGTGTTGCTTCCCTTGGGAACTTCTCTGGAGGCAGCAGCCCGAGTCCAGTGGGCTGACTCCAGGAGCCCCATCTGCTTCCCCAGAGATCGGGCAGCTGCTGGGTCATGGAGAGGGACATGAGTTTGGAGGTTTGGCTCAGCAGATAGCCCTGGCAGGCCTGAGGGAAGGTGGGGCACTCTGACATCAGGCTAGAAATCCTTGCTCAAAGCAGGAACAGTTGTGTCCTGAAGAGGGGCTGGCAAACCCTCATTCCATGTGCTCCTCCTCCAGCTCCACGAAGCCTTGCCGTGAGGCCTAGGACAGCTTCTCCTCCTGGCTTCAGCTTCCTCTTATGTACGTGGAGGATTCTGAGTGAGACTAGATGCTCCTCAGGTCTTTTCTGGCTCTCCTTCTGGCCTCCCGGTGTGGAGGCTCTGGGAAGGGAGGGCCCTGTCTCTGCCTCAGTTTCCCCACCTGTGGGTCTGCACACATGGCTGGGCATGGGAGTGCTGAGTAATGGAGTACTGAATGAACATCCCAGTTTCTCTGGGAACAGCTGTGCTCTGAGAGCCAACCAGCTGGAATGTCTCAGGATGGTTGAAAGGAGGCAAGTGCTTGAAGGATGGGGTTTCTCCAAGCCTGGAAGAGTGCATTCACTAGCCCCGTGGTTCTTAATGTCCTGGGATGGGAGACAAGATCCAGAATTTCCCAATTCAAGTTCTACTAGATCCTTGGGTTGGATTATTACCCTGTGCTGGGCTTCAGATGCTGGGAGTCAAGTGTAGATTCTAGAAGCTAGATTGGAGTATGTGATTCCCAATTTAAGCACCAGAGGACCATTGTGGCCAGAGGGATGACCCCTCACCCCCAGGAGGCTGGCTATAATCAGGCCTTCTGGAGGCAGAGGGCTGAGTGAAATGCTAGTTGTTGGGCATCCCCGGCTGAGCAATCAGAACCTGTGTCTGTGGTGGGCCAGGGATTTAGGTACCCAGGGCAATGCTCCCCTTCCTACCTCCCCACAGTTCCCCAGAATTCATGCTGATGGAAAAAGGTAGCCTGGAAGTTTCAAACATAGAGCTACACCCACCTACAACCACATATTGTACTTACACATCATCAGACACACCGAGAGGGGACAGTGAATTGTCACCACTCCTACAGTGATCAAGGTCTGATGGTCCCAATCTCTCTTCCCCTTCCTCCCTCGTTCCTTTGTTCCTTCCATCCATCCATCTGCCTAACATTTATGAGGTCCCACTATGTGCCAGGGAGGGCAGGGTCTAAGGTGGCTGGCTCTCACAGATGCTCTCCACAGTCAAAATCACACACACACACACACACTGCTCACTCACACACAGGCTGTTCACTCTTGTACCTTTCTTGCCAGCACCTCAACCACATCCACATTGCCCAGTTAGGCTTGGGAACCACCACGAAAAGGTCAAGTGTCAGAGTGGAAACCCTCTAGCATACCCCATCCCTAGACTTCATGTCAGAGGTTTAGCTCCACCTTTCCTCCTGTTTGCCCACGTTTAAATCCTCCCTTTCTCCACTCACAAGCAGTCGGGGGACATATGGGCAGACTCCTGAGAACCAGAAGTCCAGGGGCTTTGGGTGTGTGGAGGGGTCCCAGGGCCTTCAGGTTCCTCTGCCACCAGACTCCTGAGGGTCCCCCTCTTCAGCCACTCTATATTCAGACGATCATCTGATGAGCAACAGTGTCCAGGTCGAGGCTCAGTGACAGATCCGCTCTGTCATCTCCCTCTGCAGAGACACAAGGTGGGGGTGAGGGTTGGGATGGAGTGAGGAATGGGAGTCAGTCAGAGCTCAACCTGCCAGGCAGCCCCCACCCAAACCATAGGGCCTGGCTGCTCTTCTGCCTGAACTTGGCCCCTTCCCTCCTCCCACCCCAACTCCAGGCTATAGATCTGGATTTATAAACTGAAACTCGAACACATTCTCTATTAAAGTACAGAATCATTGTTAAATGAATTGTCTTCCCCTAATTTACCCACTTGGGTATTGGATTTTCTTAGTACAGGTAGACTTTGGATCTGAAAACTCAGAGGCTAGCGCTGGTAGGGGAGGGTAGTGGGGGCTTGGCCTCACCAGTGGCTCCAGTTCCCGCTGGTCCACCAGGCTGAACTCTCGGATGAAGTAGTAGAAGTGCTTGTAGCAGGTGTTGACGTGTGCCTCGGCCCCCATGCTGAGGATGCTGTCGAAGTGGTGGATGTAGACATGGACAAAGACTCGAAAGAGGCGGGTCAGGATCTTGGTGCAGACCTGCTGGAAGTTCTTGGGAAAGGGGACTCCTAGGGGGATGGGGAGGGGCAGAAGTGAGGGGATCAGAATCCTGGTATGAAACCCTACCCAGCCCTGCCTGCCCTCCCACATACAGGCAGCTTTGGCCAGGATGGCCTCTTCCCTAGCACACTTCCCTGTGGGAGACAGAGAGAGATCGTGATTCGCTTTCCCCATACTTCCCTTTTTAAGAAGCACAACTCTGATTTGCTTCTGTTCTACTGAAATACGAATTATCTTCCGCCTTTCCCCTTGACTCTGAGCAGGACTCTGCCACCTGGTTGGGGGTCACTGAACAACCCTTCTTAGAGTATGATGAAAGGAAGTAATGCCTCAACGCTCCCCAGAAATATATGCATGTGTAGGTGCTCTCACAAGACACCTTTGGATAAAATTCCAAGGGAAGCTCATCAACATCTGGGGTCCATTTTTAAAAACATGAGCCTTCATAATTAAGTCCTAACTTCCCAGCATGGTCCCTGCTCAAGGCCTTTCAGGATTCTGGCCTCCCTCTCCAACCCCACCCTGACTCCTTCCTCTTTGCAACATACACAGTGCAGTCCCCAGACCCCTAATCCTGAGAATTACTAAAGCTTCAAGAACTAGTTCAGATATCTCTCATTCCTTCACATTTTCAATAACACTCTTCCATCTGTGAGCCAGGCCATGTGCTGGGCTCTTTGCACCTTTTGCCTGGTATGATCATGGGTATGATAGCCAACCTAGATATGATAAAATGGAGGTGCATAAAATTGGAGCCACTTGCCCGAGGCCACATAACTATTCATTAGTACTGACTGGAGGCAGGATTCAAACCCTGTCTGCACTGCACTGTAGCATCCCTCTGAGATGAATGCCACAGACTCTGCTCAAGAAAAGCTCTAGGGCCCTAACTGGTTTGGCTCAGTGGATGGAGCGTCGGCCTGCAGACCGAGAGGTCCTAGGTTCGATTCCGGTCGGGGGCATGTGCCTTGGTTGCGGGCACATCACCAGTGGGAGGTGTGCAGGAGGCAGCTGATCGATGTTTCTCTCTCATCGATGTTTCTAACTCTCTATCCCTCTCCCTTCCTCTCTGTAAAAAATCAATAAAATACATATATTTTTAAAAATCATCTTTATAAAAAAAGAAGAAGAAGAAGAAGAGCTCTAGGGCCCAGCAGTGTGGCCCAGTGGTTGAGCACCAGAGGTCAAGGTTTGATTCCTAGTCAGGGCACATGCCCAGGTTGTGGGCTCGATTCCCAGTAGGGGACGTGCGGGAGGCAGCTGATCAATGATTCTCTCTCATCATTGATGTTTCTAGCTCTCTCTTTCTCTCAGTTCCTCTCTGAAATCAATAAAAAATATATTAAAAAAAAAAAAGACGAGCTCTAGAGCCTGTGAAAAAGACAGTTTCCTATCGTCCCCCATGCTCAGGGTGGAAATCTTGGTGGCCATGTGCGCTTCTCTGCCATCCCAGGGTTAAGGCACAGACATCTAGGGTCTCATAAGCCCGGGGATTAAGGCTAGAAGGGAATAAGAGCCCAGATACAGGCCCACACTGGCCCACCCCACTCCACAGATCCCTTCTCCTTCCTCACTGTTCTCAGGAAGGGTTGAGCCCTGCCTCTCCATGAGCCCTTCTAGGCCCAGTCCAGGCTCCTCAGACTTGTCCTGCCTCTCTAGACTTGGGGCCCAGGCCCCAAGAGACCCGAGCTGCAGTTCTGAACGCTGTTGACTCAGTGCACTATCCCTCTCTTGGCCTAGGTTTCCTCCTGGGTGATATGAAGATACCCACTGTTGGGCATGATAGTGCAGGAAATGACAGGCCACCAGCTGGGGAGGGGCCTAGGGCATTGAATTGTGACTCAATGCTCAGCATTCAGACTTCTCTCCTCTGGGCTTGACCACCCTGCCTCACCCACCTCTGATTCCCAAAGCCTTGAGGCCAGGTGGGGGTGGGGCTGTTGTGATGAACACAGTGTCATGCCAACACCCCTTCTTGATGCCCTTGGGTGGGGAGGCAGGGCCAGGGTGACATCACTCTCTCCCATACCCACCCTTATCCGCCCAGGCTGCCCAGCTGAGATAAGGAAAGTCTCCACAGCTTGGAGCTCTGCCCTTAGAGCTCCCTGAGGTGGAAATACTGTCAGCACATCCAACCGCCACCCCCTCCCCTTCTGGGGACCGGAGTCAGAGGGAACTCCCAGGAGGCTGCAAGTCAGATCAACCCAAGGAGGGTAACCTGTTAGGAGCACCTTGAGGCACCTCTTCTGGAAGGTTCTGAGGATCATAGTGGTCTCCCCAGGGTGATCCCTGGAGGGGCACTCAAGCTTTAGACAAGAAGAACCCCAAACTGGGAGTCAGGCCATCTGAAATTGAGATGCCTGATCTTGACAAGCAGACATTGAACCTCTCAGAGCCTGTTTCCTCTTCTACAAAATGGGGATGAAAATTACACAAACACATACACACACTCCACAGAATTCCTATATCAAACTAAATGCCGCATCTGTGAAATGGGCTCCAGTGGCTCCCTCCCTCCCTGGCCAGGCCTGACCAGGTGGCACTCACCAACACGAGTGGGAAAGACGTCCTCATCGTTGATGAGGCCCTCAATCCAGTCCATGAGTAAGGCCATGTAGCGCGGTGCCGAGAGCTTGGCTGGCCGCCGGTACTGCCGCTCGTCCTGCCAGCGGTACTCGTAGCGGGGCCCTCCAGCCATCACCGGGCAGCTGGTCTCGCTGCAGCGCTCAGCCATGGTGCCATAGATGAGGTTGATGCGGTTAAAGAAGTCCACCACGTGCACGGCGATCCAGTCGTCAATATTCTCGCCCGGCGGCAGCCTCACCACACTGCGCAGGTCCAGGCCGGACTTAAGCGATGCCTGTGCCTTCTTGTACAGCTCAAAGCGCTGTGTGCCCGGCTCGAAGCGCTTCCGCGGCCGGAAAGTCTTGTCCTTGGCGAACACCTGCTTCAGGCACAGGGCCATGGCCAGGCTGGGCGGAGGGACGGGTGTCCAGGGGAAGGACCTGCGGATGCCCTGCCAGAGCCAAGGGCATGGAAGAGCATGGTGGTCAGGTCCTTACCAAATGTGCTTTGACTTCCCAACACATCATTCCCTCTCACCTCTCAGCTTTTGGCCCATCTCAGCAGCCTCTTCGAATTCTAAATCTTCCTCATTCCCTCGGTCCAGCACCCTGCTCTGTTCCCAGGCTGTCCTATCTCCCCTGTCCAGTGCCACAGCCCTGCCTTCTTATTCTGTTTCCTCTCCATATTCACTGCATCTCACAGAGGGCTGGGCCTCGGATCCAAACAGGTGCTCCTTAGACTTGCTGTTGACCAGTAGAGAGGTGACAGAGGCTTCCTGCCGGCCCTGGACAAGATGACCTCTGGGGGCCCCACAGGCCACCTGGTGCAGCGTGGGAGAGCCTGGTGGCATTGTGCTGGGGGTAGGGGGAGCCCCCCCCCTTCAGCTTCCTCTGGGATATCTTATAGTTCATCCGGCCGGCTACCAGCCACCGGGGATTCCCAGAGAGCAGGAGGGACTTTTCTACCAAAAATGTCCTTTCCTGTTATTACCCTGAAAGAGGAAAAGCCCTTATATGGCCAGCTGGGTGGCCTGTGAGTGGCTGGAGGAGAGGGGGAGGTAGCAGGTCTAGAAGGGCACCACCTCCTCCAACAGCAGTTGGAGATCCTTCCCCCCAAGCCAGCCTCCTCTGGCGGAAACCCCAACAGGCCCCTCCCCCTGCACCTGCTACGCAGTAGACATTCCTAGAGCACCCACTATGTGCCTGGAACTGGAAGGTAGGAATGCAGTCAGATCTACCCAGCTGGGCCCATCTAGAATTCATATGAATTTGCTTTGCCTTTTAGAACTGAAGAATCCCAGACTCAGAACAGACCTTGGGGACAGCAATCAGAGCCCAAGCTTGCAGGCAGAAGTCCTGGGTTATAGGCCCAGCACCACCATGACTGTAGTAGGTAGGCATGGACTTGGCCCATGCAACTTCCTGGGTCACTCCGATTTAGTCCAGGTTACTGTGACTCTCGAGGTAGGCTCTTACCTCCTCTGTGAGTCTGTGAGCTCTTGGGAAATGCAGACCTAGGTTCCTACTGAGACAGATTTAGCCACAAACTGAGCACTGACCCTGACCCCAGACTGAGCACTAAGGCTGAGTATAGGCCAAGCACTGAGCTCTGGCTCCAGGTTGAGGTCTGACCTGATCTTGACCTTGGTCAGTGGGGGTGCTAGACTGAGGCTTGAATATAGCCACAAACAAAACCTCAGAGCTGACATTGGAGCATTTTTCCTTTCTCATGTCCCTAGTAATACTGGGACGGGACTGGGGAAGGAGGATGGGGAAAAGGTGACACTGGATGTAACCAAAGGCACCGTAAATATGGGTTGGGGGAGGTGTCATGTCAGGCAATAAGTCAAGCTAGTGGAGAAGTTCGGAACGGGGGTTCTTTGTTGTAACCACAACAGGCAGGCAAAGAAGAGGAAAGTCAAATAAAATGAGAGGAACCTGGAGAATCCATCCCCTGTCCCCCACCTTCTCACCCAAAGAAGTCCCCAGCATGGGACCCGAGCTTCCTGACCCAAGAGCAGGCAACTTCCATGCTTCACGTGTTACCTGCATTCTAAACTCTGCTTGGGCAGGTGCTTCCAAAATCTCTCACACTGCAATCAGGTGGGGTTCCTGGGCTCGTTACCTTCGCCCAGTTCCCTTTACTGACTGTTACCAACAGACCCTCACTCTGGCATTCAACACCTTACCCTACCTTTCCTGCCCCACTTCCCAACCAACCGTGCTGGGCTTCTTGCTGATCCCTGAACATGCCCCTCACTCCTGCCTCTGAATCTTCACACCCCTCCGCCCCCACGCCCAGCCTAGAGCAGGGCCTGGCACATGGTCAATGCTCAGGCTTTAAGGAAAGTTTAAACTCAAGAATCTTAGGGTTCTCAGAGGGAAGGCAGGCGTGGATGGGTGGGAAGAGATTAACCAAAGAACTTACATACATTTATGCATAACCCATGGACACAGACAGTAGTGTGGTGAAGACCTGGGGTTGGGGGAAGGGGTGGGCTAGAAGGGGTCCATGGGGAAAAAAGGGTACATTTGTATAACTTCCAACATTAAAGGTAAGTTAAAAAAAAAAAAAAGAATCTTAGGGTTGAAATAGCCCTGAGAAATCAACGGACCCAACCCACTTCTTAAACAGATGGGAAGTATGAGGCCCAGAAAGGGGACTTGAGAGCCTCCATTCACACAGCAAGTTATAGGCAGAGGCTCTCCAAGGGCAGAACTGGGAACTGGGATAAGGTGGGGTGCGGCCCAAGACAAGAATAAAAGACCATTTTCCTACACTGGCTGCACTAGCTGGTCCCTGGTCTGGCGGAGATAAGGGGAGAGGAGGGGAGTGGAGGGAGAGGGGAAGCATCTTCCCACCAATTAGACCACCTAATTCCTGTTCCAACACGCTGAGCCTCCCCACTGCCCCGCAGCAACTTGGGTGTCCTGACCAGTGGGCTGGAGTCCCACCTATCCTCCAGGCCTGGGTCTTTCCCAGGAAAAGGTAAGCCTGCCAGTGGGAGGATGGGTAGGTGCCCTCTCTCCATGCCACTTGATTCTCCTCACTTCCCACTCCAAAACCTTCCTGAGTTCCCACCCCTCACAGAACCTTGGTTCCCTCCCTGAATCAAAACTATTGCCCCTCTTAGCCCTATTTCCCAATTCTGTGCCCTTTCACAGCCTGGGTGGGCATCTGGGCTGCCCAAAGGAAGACCACAGAGGAACACTTCCTGTTTCTGACACAGCCCCCTGCCAGGGCCACACCTGCCATTCCTCAGGCTGAACCTAGAACGCAGCCTAGAGCTGTGGGAAAGGCGTGGGGGCGGAGGGGGCTCCCTGCAGGGCAGAGATCCAAGAGGAAAGTCGGGGTGGGGCTCCGTGCTCTGTGCAGAGTCTGCAGAGTCCCCGCAACGCCCAGCCACCCAAGCCCACCCTTTGGCCGTCGGTCTCCTCCACCTCTCTCCTGCCCGACTGCCAGGAGAGCCCGGTCGTAGGACCCAGAAGGGCAGGCCAGACATTTCCGCCCCCGAGGACACGCCCCCTCCAACACTGGCACCCCCAAACCCCGACTTTCGACTTTCGCTGCTCGGACCCGGACCGAGGACTGTGGCCGCCCTGGCTTCGGGCAGAGGTCGCCCCCGACGGCGCCACGCCCGGACGGCGGAAGAAATGAAAGTGGAAGCAAGGCTGAATCGTGGCCCCGGCCGGGGCGCGCGGGCGCGGGGATCACTCACGGGGCCGCCTCGGTGGATTAGAGCGAGTCCTCGTCTGGCCGCGGGTCACAGCCCCAGCGCGCTGGCCGGTCCTCTCCCTCCGCGGGTCCTCTGGTCTGTCCACCGGCCTGCCCAGCCGGGCTGCGGTCGCCCTATCGCCCCGCAGGCAACGCCAGCTCCTCCCCTGGCCTCCGGCCGCCGCGCTGTGGCCAAGGGGCGGGGAAGGGGCGGGGAGTGGGGACCCTCCCCCTCAGTGCACGCGCTCGCTGTCGCCTTTCCGGAAAGTCTATATCGCGCTCCCAACTTCTCGTCGGGCAAACTGTCGGCTTACACTTCTGCCAAGGAGGCAGCCTCAGCATTCTCCGCTGTAAAATGGGGACAAGTTCAGCTTTCGTCTGGAGCAGAAACAAAGGCGCTGCTAGATAATGGTGGTTTTCTTGCTCTCCCCGAATCACGTGTGTTGCACTTGTGCCTGAACTCACTAAGGGATCAGTTCTGCCCTATCCACTTCCATACCCTCAGCTCTTGGCATATTGCCTGGCACACAGCAGGCACATAGTCCCATTTACTGAATGAATGAATGAATGAATGAATGCATGCCTCAGGACACATGAGTGAGTCCCTCACTGAAAGGACTGGCCCTGAAGATGCTCAGATCACAGATTTTCACCTTCCCCACCAGGGCTGGGGTTCTTGCTCAGACCTGGCTGGTTCTCCTCACTCCTTACCTGAAATCACTCCGTTTGCCACCGCCAGACATTTATTCTAGCTGTTCCATTTGAATGTCTTCTTTCCCTCCTTCCTTTCAACCAAATCCAAACCCTTCAGACTTGACTGTTCTTCCTACTTTTCTACCTGGGTCCCTTCCCTGAGGGCAGACAGAGATCCCACACCAGCATCTAATCACAAGTGGGCCCCAGGAGGAGGGACCAGGTGGCTGTCTTGGGATGGCAGGGAAGGTTGGAGGCCTAGAGTGGGAGGGCCAAGGCAGACGGATAGGCTGCGGAAGGCATATACTGTGGCACAGAGGCTTTCTGGGCTCCCCTGTGTCTGGATTTTCTGCTTGCTCCATGGATGGCATGAGAACACGCTGGATCATGAATCGCAGTCCATAGAACTGAAGATTCTTTCTTTTGTTGAGCACCTATTTTTGTCCCCGTCTAAAGTCATTTGCTGTACCTCTTGCTGGGGTTTCCTGGGTCCTTAACTCTACCTCAAACCCCTACAAATATTTGCATGCTCTAGTATACGCAGAAGAGATTCAAATCTAGTCCTTTGTTTGATACCCTATTTAATCCCCTGTATTAAGCATGACTGTGCTGAGAGCAGGGCATCAGGTGAGGAAGCTGCTCCGGTTCCTGACCTCAGCTGACAACAGGCCAGCAAGGGGACAACACACAGAAATCACACAAGGTCAGAGCTCAGTCATCCAGAAGTGAGAGTATGGTTACAGACTGATGGGGAGCACTCTGTGAGAGTGGTTAACTGCAGGAAACACATGGAACACCCAAACTGGGCATTTTGAGGAGAGTTTAAAGAAGGCACTATTTAGAGGTGTAGTCAGGGAAACCACATGGATAGTGTATCACCAAAGGGCTAGCAAGAGCAGCCTTTTGATGTCCACCCTAGGCTGAAGCTGCCACCCCTAGCTGAGAGGTGCTGGGAGGGAGTTGTCAAAGTGGGAGCTATGAGGAGGGAGCTGCTGATTGGAGCTGTGCCCTAAGCTCCAGGGGCATAACCCGCTCACAGCAATCATACTGCAAAGGACTGGGGGTCTAAAGGGGCCTTCCCCACCTCCCTTCCTCTGACTTCTGGGCAGGTCTCCCCATTGGCCAATTCCTACTCTTGAAGCCAAGGGCAGGGAACCTGTTGACCCACCTACAGAAGTCAGCCTCCTAGAGTGTGTGTGTGTGTGTGTGTGTGTGTGTGTGTGTGTGTGTGTTGGGGGGGTTGGGAGGAGGCAATGGAAGGTACTTAGGATGTGGGTCAGGGACTTTGACTTACAGAGGAAACACAGACTGCTTTGTGCTTTTCTTATCATTCAGTTCTAAATATTTCATAATTTCACTGTCATTTCCTCTTTAACCCATGGATGATTGAGAAGTGTGTTTTAGCTTCCCAGCCTATGGGAGGTTTATGTTTCTCGTGTTGACTTCTAATTATGTTGCATTGTGGTTGGAGGTCATGGTCTGTAAGATTCTTTGGAATGTGATGTGACTCCTTCTGTGGCTTTGCACATGGTCATTTGCTGTACCTCCAGCTGGGTTTTATAGGATGGCAGGGGTTTGCCTGGTGAAGAGTGAAACGTAGAGAATCTTACATTGTGGGAAATATAGCTGATCCATTTAGAAGGAACTTCAGAAGTTGCCAGCTCACCCACAGATCCCCAGTGTCTGCCCAATACTAGCTGACAGGTTGCAGGACTGGGAGAAGACAGAGATAGCCCAGGTCTCTCAAATGCCTGTCCCCCCTTCCTGTGGCTCTCAGTCTGGGCTAGATTCTTACAGGAGGCTCTGCTGGGGCTGAGAAGATCCAGACCTTTGGGAACAAGGTCCCAGCTTCACAATGTATTTAGCTGTGTGACTGGGTTACTCCTGTACTCCCTGATGGCATGCTGTAACTCTACAGGCACTGCTCCCTGCCACTGTGTCCTGCGTATGGTAAGTGGCTCAAATAAGGCCCTGTCTCTGAAGCGTGGTGGGGACCACTGAGAACCTAGCTGAGGACATACTCTTCTCCACTGCAAGAACATGAGTCCTCGTGGGGAGCTCCAGTGGCAGGGGGTGGTATTCAGACCTGGGCTCCTGCCCTGCCCTGTGTCTCTAGGAAAGCCCCGTCCTTCTTTGGGCCTCAATTTTCCCATCTGCACCACAAACACATCTTCCATCCATACCATTCCAAGTGCCCTACCAGGACAAGCTTCCTGCTCTTGCCCCTGTGAGCCTGTTACCTGTGTCTCTCCCTGGGGACTTCCCAGTCCCTCCTATGCCAGGAAGTTTTCCCATACCCACACTCCTCTCAGAATGAGCTACAGCACCCCCAGAGCACCCCTCAGGCTTCTGGAAACTCCAATGGGGAAACCTGGCCAGAATCAGAGGAAGGGAGGTGTGGAAGGCCCCTTTAGACCCCCAGTCCTTTGCAGTATGATTGCTCCTCGAGCTTAGGCCACAGCTCCAGTGGAGGAGCCGGATGGGGCCCACCTTCTCCTCAATCTCCCAAGAAAATGTTTCTATTTCAGCTCTGCCTTTTCCTGCCCAGAAGGCAGTATCTTTCATCCTGGCACATTTAGGAAAAAGCAAAGAATAGCCTCATTGCAATAAGAGGAATTGAGGTTGGACTTCCTTTAGTTTGAAAGACAATGTTGAAAAGAATGTACATTAAAATTCTGTGTGACCTTGGACAAGGCATTTGTCCTCTCTGAGCCCATTTCCCCCTCTGTAAAATGGAAACCACAACAATACGTGCCCCACAGAAGAGCTGTGAGGGTCAGCAGAAGGCTGTGGTCAGTCTTTTGGGGGTGCTGCCTTCAAGCCTCAGCAGGCTCTTGTGTAGAAGAGGGGTGACCCCGTTCCCATGGTCCTGGAAGACAAGGGGCAGTGACCAGGACAACATGAGAGGACACTTGACACATCAGGGCTGGCCAACCATGTAGCCTGGATGGCTGTACTCACTTCTTGGGGTAGGGATGGGGAGAATGAATGTGCAAGCAAAGGTGGCGCAGCCCACTGTGACATGGGCTTTAGTCCCTCTGAAGAGCAGGAGGGCCCTCTTGAGCCTGAGAACCTCAGACTCCAGTGTTCTGTGCTCCCAGGTCCCTCTTCCCTCCCTGCTCCCTGCTCCCTGCTCCCCCCTTGAGTTGGAGGCATAGCTCTCACCTCTCCGGGTTTCAGGATTTCCATCTTGGATCTGTGGTGGAAGCCTAGTGTGCATAAGAGCCTTGGGATAATTTCTAACACCCTCCCCAACCTGACCTGACCTCCAACATAGCCGTGGTGGGCACTGTCCTCTACAGATGCATGCCCTCCAACCACTTGGGCTAGTTCTCAACTCAGGGGGGTCCCAGGAGTGGAGGTGATAGTTGGAGGGGGGGGGGGAAAGGAGTCGGGGGTTAGAAGGTAGGCTGTGGTGACAGTTTGCCAGTGTCCCAGGCTCAGCCTTCCATGGAACCCACCATGAAGCCTGCACAGGAAGTTCTGTCCAAGCCTACTTCCTCTGCCACTGTGGTGCCTCCCTTTAGGCCTCTCTTATAAGGCCTCTCTTATAGGGCTGCCTGCCTAGAGCATGACCCCAGTTCAAACCCTCCTCAGGCTACCACAGTCTGTGAGGGTCAGCACTTGTTGTGTTGGGTAATAGGGACTTGGGGTTCATTATACTATTGGTTTTACTTTAGTATATGTTTGAAAATTTCAACAATAAAAAGTTTCTTCCCTCTTCTCAGCATCCTTTCTCCCGGTGTTTTCAGTAATACCTGCCTTAGCCTCGTCATTGGGAGTGGGGATTTCTTACAGAAGACCATCTGATTCTGACCAAGCCTGGAGGTCTCTCAGTTTCAGGAGGGACTGGGAATAGAGGAAATCAGCAAATCCAGAATGACAAAAATTCTATAGGACGGATTCTTAACACATAAATGTCAAGAAAACAAGAGGTGAGGGAAAACCTGTAAGTTAAGAGTGACTTAATATGGGATACTACTCAGCAATAAAACAAACTGGCTATTGAGAGTTGTAGCAACTTGGATAATTGCAAAGGCATTGTGCTGAGTGAAAAAATTTAATCTTAAAAGATTACATACTATATGATTTTATTATATACATTCTCAAAATGACAAAATTATAGTGATGGAGAGCAGATCAATGGTTGCCAGGAATTAGGACTGAGGAGGAAAGTTTGACTATAAAGGCGTACATAGCACGAGGGACTTTCTTCTCTTGGTGATAGTATCCTGATTGTGGTTCCACAAACTTAAAATTTCATAGGACTATAAACAAAAGGAAAAAATAAAGAATGAGTGCGTATAAAAGCTGGTGAAATCCAAAATAAAGTCTGTATTTATATTGTATGCATGTCAATTTCATGGTTTTGATAATTATGGCTATTGTATGTTACATTGGGGAAAGCTGAGTGAAGGGCACGTAGGAACTCTATTATTTTTGCAACTTCTATGTGAGCCTAAAATTATTTAAAAATAAGTTTAAAAATG